AAAACCACTGTTATCTATTGTGGATTTTTTTGAACCAAGAAGTAAACAAACAATCTTAAAAAAAAATAATCAGAACTGTGTCTGGATCTCACTTCGGTATACAAGTATTTTTTTAACAGGTTATTTAAAGGCTGCTATCAACTGGGTGGTCTTTTAATTGTATTTTCTTTTCCAAAGTTAATTGGTTATAAATTCACTTCTAAAAATCTTGCTATATATCTAGCCTTAGCATAGGAAAAAGAAAAAAACCAACCACTATCTGACATTATGTCACATTATTAAGATTCATTACCGGTCAAACTCTACTCATATCTGAAACGTATAAGTCCTACTGTCATTTCTAAACAGTTGCATATGAATGTACAAGATTAAAAACTTGCTATTAAAAAGAGAGAGCTTTCCAAAGAAGACATATAGGTGGCCAAGAGACACACAAATAGATGTTCAACATCATTAATCCTCAGGGAAAAGCAAATCAAAACCACAGTGACGTATCACCTCACACCAGTTAGAATGGCTAGAATCAAAAAGACAAGAAATAACAAGTGTTGATGGGGATGTGGAGAAAAGGGAACCCTAGTGCACTATTGGTGGGAATGTAAATTGGTGCAGCTACTGTGGAAACTAGTAGAGACATTCCTCAAAAAACTAAAAATAGAAATACCACATGATCCAGTAATTCCACTACTGGATATTTACCCAAAGGAAATGAAAATACTAATACAAAAAAGCACCATTACATTCATTGCAGCATTATTTACAACCATCAACATATGGATGCAGCCCAAGTGCCCATCAATAGATGGATAGATGAATGGATAAAGAAGATGTGAGATATACATATATGTATATATATATACATGCATATATATACACTATATGTATGTGAGTGTATATATATATGTATGAGATATACATATACACAATGGATATATACATATCTATAGTGTATGTGTGTGTGTGTGTATAAAATGGAATATTACTCAGCCATAAAAAAGAATGGAATCTTGCCATTGGTGACAGCACAGATGGACCTAGATAGCATTATGCTAAGTGAAATAAGTCAGGCAAAGAAAAACAAATATCATATGATTTCACTTCTGTGTGAATTCTAAAAAAACAAAACAAATGAATAAACACACAAACCAATAAAAACAGATTCTTAAATACAGAAAACAAACTGATGATTGCCAGAGGTGGGTTGGGGGAGGGTGAAATAGACAAAGAGGATTAAAAGGTATAAACTTCTAGTTATAAAATAAATATGTCACAGAGATGAAAAGTGCAACATAGGAAATATAGTCAATAATATTGTAATACTATTGTATGGTGACAGATGGTGACTACACTTATTGTGGTGAGCACTGAGTAGTATACAGATTTGTTGAATCAATATGTTGTACACCTAAAACTTATATAGCATTGCATGTTAATTATACCTCAATAAAAAAGAGAGAGAGAGAGCTTTAACTTGATCTTCTGTTTTATTGTTAAGCATTTAAGGATATATGAGGTATAAGACAAATTCCACAATATTTGTCACAGCTTAAGAAATTAAATGATCTAACATTTTGGGTGGTTCTAACTACTGATGTACATTTTTGAGTCAATAAGAAAAGTATTACTATTTCTATTTAAAGAATGTATCATTAGAATTGATAGTTTTATTTACTGAGTCACAGATGATAGCTGTTTTTGAATGTGAACCCAGATGACAACCAAGAGCAGGCACATTATCAGTCTGTGCCCCCAGAGTGGTTTTTCTCCTCATGACAATCTTGCAAAATCTAGTGTTGAGGGTCAGAAATGTTAGAATTGGGAGAAAACAAATCCATCAGGTGAAGGAACAAACTAGGAATCTCAAACCTAGAACCCATGCTTTGAGAGAGGAGGATTGTGATTTTAAAATAACAAACAATATATTTTTTTAAATTTAGTAGTTAAACCTTGGAGTAGATGTGTGGCCATTCTATCTGCAGCCTAAGAATTCATCCTTAAAGAAAGGAATAAGAGAGGATGTGAGGGCCATCTGGCTGTGACATCTGTCACCCCCGTGATGGCTAGGGTGGATTTGCCTGATCTGGCTGGCTAGGTGGGTGTCTCCTTCTTCCCTCACCACTCCAGATGTGTCCCTCCTGACTCAGCGCTCTCTGTCGGAGTGGACAACCTTCCCTGCTAGAGGAGGACTGTTCTTCAGTCAAGGGTATACGAGTAGCTGCGCTCCCCTGTGAGAACCTCCAAACCAGCTCTCAAGGTCCATTTGTTGGAGAACATAGGGTAGTCAAACTTCCAAGACTTCAGACACATCCAAATGAGGTGCTGCATTTATCAGTCTGCCTTTCTTAAAAAAAGGAAGAAAAAAAAAAAAAAACCCAAACCAAACAAACAAAAAGAATAAGAGAATCGTAGGAAGAAGCCATGAAAAATGGATCCCAAATTCATCTCTAGGCTTACACCAGGACCAATGCCATGAACATTGTCCCCATTTAAATCCTCCTGGGTAGCAAATCACAAAAACTCTAAGTTGCTCCCTGCAATATTAAGCAACTGTTATTGTCAGAAAGTTCTTCCTTATAGCTAACCTCCTTTCTCATGGTGCATGTTAGAAACCATTTTCTCTTGCATAGTTTTCACTGGAAATAAAATCAGTCAGATTCCAACCTTCATGGGATAAGGAGAAAGTACTGAAGGGAAAACAAGCTTAAATGATGTTGAGAGTGTATTTCCGTAAGTGATGGCTTATTCCAAACATTCTTGGTAGTGTCCTTCATGATGGATTCAGAGCAAAGATAATGGATTTGGACCATAGGATTTAGTCCTGTGTCTCAAGACATACCTGGGTGTCTGACAATCACTTAGTGTACTTGTGTAAAAGCTGGAAAATTCAAAGGTTGTGCATAAAGCAATACCTTCATAGAATTTATTCAATCAGTGTGAACTTTTATTTATTTGATGCCTACGACCAAGGGAAAATGTTTAACTGGAAGCATGCAATTACTCTGATGCTCAACCTAGTGTAAAACAAATATGGAGTAGGCATGTGCTAATAAGGTGGGCTTGGGGTTCATAAAGTCCAGAACTATTCGTTAACTGAGGGAGATATCATAAATCAAAGGGAAAAAGAAAGTACTTATGTGTGGCTTTAGGGTCCTATGCTCTGGAATGGCCTTGTCTATATGCTAACATTATACTTGGATAAATGGTTTACATCTGCTACTAACTCACTGTCATATTCAGAAGAGGAACAGTTCTCTCTAATAAAGTGTTTCAGTTCCTGCAGAAAACACCACATAAATATATGGTAATGTATTATTATCATTATATAGAGCAGAGGCCAAAAACATCTTGCCAAAGTGATCCTCTAAAATTTTACACCTATTTCATGCATTAAAAAAAGAAATGTGTAGCATATGCTTTCACTTATTTTACGATTAGCTCATCAAATTTGTGTTCTCTGAGGACAGAAAGCCAAAAAGCCTGTCTCTCAAGACCTTCCCCCGCCCCTATGCCTGCCTCCTCATCCAGCATTGTTTTTAAAAGATCTGGTCTCACAGGTCCTCAGAAGCAAAATTAAATTCAAACAAAATAATAATAACTTGCATTTGTGTTGATCTTTAAAGTTTACAAAGAGCTTTCGCATAATCTCATTCGATGCTCACAACTACTCTCTGGGGTTTGCAGGGCAGGGAATAATATTCCCATTTTATAATTGTGGAAACTGATACGGAGAATAAACTCTCATGGCTTGCTTAAAATGATCCAGCTAATAACCAGCAGAACTGGCTCTTAAACCCAAGTCATCTGGGCAATTCAGGAATACTTTTTCTACTCTGACCAGGCTGCTGTGGCAGATAGAACTCTAAAATGACCCGTTTGGGGCACCTGGGTGGCTCAGTCACTTAAGCATCTGACTCTTGATTTTTGGCTCAGGGTTGTGAGACGGGGCCCTGCATCAGGCTCCATGCCCAGCATGGAGATACTCTCTCTCTCTCTGTCCCTCCTCTGCCTCTCTCTCCCTAAATAAATAAATGAATGAATAAATGAATAAATAAAAATTAAATAAGATGATCTTTAATGACCCTCACCTTTATATAATCTCTCCCGGAGCATCTGTGAAACCTGTAAATATGATAAGATATTGCTCCGGTGACTATGTTACTTTATATGCAAAAGGGATTTTGCAGTGGTAATTAAGATCCCAAATCAGTTGACCTTAAGATATGGAAATTGTCTGGGTGGGCCTGACTTAAACATAGGAGCCTTTAAAATATGGATCTAGAGGTAAGAGATGGAAGAAGTCAGAGAGACTTGAAGCATAAAAATGATCTGAGGTGAGGGAGATTCTGGTTGCCGGCTTTGAAGAACCTTTCCTCCATGACACAGAATTCTAGCAGCTTCTAGGAGCTGAGAGACCCCGCTGATAGCCAGCATGAATATGGAGACCCCAGGTTTTCAACAGGAAGGAACTGAATTCCGTCAATAGCCCACAGGAGCTTGGCAGTGAATTCTCCGGAGCCTTTAGATGAGAAACCCGGCCTGCCAACATCATGATTTTAGCCTCATAGGCTATGAACAGAGAACCCAGTCACACCATGCTGAACTTCAGACCTACAGAACTGTGACCTAAGAAATGGGTGTTGTTCTAAGCTGCTAAATATATGCTAATTTGTTATACAGCAATAAAAAAACTAATAACCTGCCACTCATAAGTATTTACTGAATGCTTATTACATGCAAGACAGTCATTTTTATTTCAGATCATTTTATTTTATGTATTGTCTAGAGGGTCAGTTTAGACAAAAACAAAAATCCCAGACCTGCTGTGGTAATATTAATATTTCTCCTTACTTGTGGGAATACAAAGAATTGCAATCCCTGTCCTCTTAAGGGTAAGCAGGACTGTGTCCCTTATTCTGGACAACAAAATGGAGGGAAATGGACGTATATGTCTCTTCCAGGACAAGGGCTTCAATTCGCCATGTTCTCTTTCCCTGTTGCAGCAAACGCAGCAGCTCTGGATGAGAAGGAAGTTTCTATGATGAGGAGCACCTGTAAGCCAGAGTCTGGGGAACAGAACTTCCCATCAATCTGCTTTGGGCATCTGGAGCAGCCCAGATATTAACCTTTGTTCTTTCCAGCCTCTGTGATTGCTTCATTGTTTGCTTCCGTAACATAACCTCGCCTATCCTGATTGACACACTTGCCTTGAAGGTACCGGACCAACATGAAATACTGAACCTCACAAACATGGACTGCCATCCTGCTACATCAGCAATGAAAGCCAAGTTAGCTGTTCTCAGGACCTTCTGCTGAATATATTTTGGGTAAGGAAAAAATAGAGCTGTTATTTACCACCGTTTTTCCCTCCAAGTAGGTGAGAAGTGAAGAAAGGGATGGGAGAAGTGGGATAAGACCCAGGAGAAAAGGAAAGCAAGAAATACCATGTGGCTCTCTGACTGAGCAACAATTACTGACTGGCTACAGTTAGACTCTGTCAGGTCCTCAAATATCAGTAAAGACAGACCCACTTTCCATAAGGCACTGAAACGAGTCAGTCATTAGTGTAACAATGAGTTAAAATGAAGAAATCGTGTACTTTAAATATTTTCAAGTGGATCTGTTCCTTGGGTTTGCTGGAACACACCGTCCTGATTTAGGGGAAAGAAATCAAGACTGTAAGCAATCTTTTACGTGGGTTTTCACACTTCACCTTTCTCGGTTTTATTTCTGTGGAAGACCTACAGTATAGGTCTAAATAATAGCTAAGTTGAAGAAGCAGTTTTTATATTCCTATCAGAACATAGTCACTAACAAATGTAACAAGTCTTATCATTTTGTTAGCAACTATCCTTATAATCATTCATCGGCTGTCTTTTTGTTTTTTAAGCAGAAGCATTAGATAAAATATTTCCTTCTTGTTAAGATAGTCATTAAAGTTTAAGAATTTTAAGTGAACTAAATGGAAAAAGTTGGTCTCCTTAACCATACACAACAAACTTATTTTGAAAATAAACTTTTTTGGGGGTAAATTCCATATAACTGCTAACAAGTGGAGGTCAAAGTAAGCATCTGTCAAAAACATTATTTTAAGAAGTTTTGATAGAAGCAGGAAAACTCTACATAATGTTTAAGCTCTTGGTTTCCAGGCTCATTTCATCATCACTATTTTCCCATTTATTCACGAAGCAGATTAATCAACTCTATAAGGAGTTTCTTCATCTGTTTGTGAAGTTTTTCGAATAGATTTTTCAAACGAAAAGAAGAGATTTCTTTAGAAACTTGAAAAGCTTTCTTTTCAAACTTTTGATTCTTGAAACCAAAACCAAAATGGACTATTTTTTCTTTGTTATTTTACTTTCTTTATTTTTTTAAATTTTATTTTATTATGTTATGTTAATCACCATACATTACATCATTAGTTTTTGATGTAGTGTTCCATGATTCGTTGTTTGCATATAACACCCAGTGCTCCATGCAGTACGTGCCCTCTTTAATACCCATCACCAGGCTAACCCATCCCCCCACCTCCCTCCCCTCTAGAACCCTCAGTTTATTTCTCAGAGTCCATAGTCTCTCATGCATGGTTCATCTCCCTCTCCGATTTCTCCCCCCCTTCATTTTTCCCTTCCTACTATCTTGTTCTTCTTCTTCTTTTTTTTAACATATAATGTATTATTTGTTTCAGAGGTACAGGTCTGTGATTCATCAGTCTTACACAATTCACAGCGCTTACCATAGCACATACCCTCCCCAATGTCTATCACCCAGCCACCCCATCCCTCCCACCCCCTACCACTCCTGCAACCCTCAGTTTGTTTCCTGAGATTAAGATTTCTTTCTTAAAGTAGAAAAAAGAGAAAGACAATCTCGAAAGCATGGTTTGATTTTCTGTACCTTTGCAAATCAGTTCTTTATATATCAATATAATTCTGAAGAAATTAAAAGTTGAATATCTTTCAAGATCTCTCTCTATAGGGGCGCCTGGGTGGCTCAGTTGGTTAAGCGTCTGCCTTCACCTCAGGTCATGATCCCAGGGTCCTGGGATTGAGCCCCGCATAGGGCTCTGTGCTCAGCAGGGAGCCTGCTTCTCCCTCTCCCACTGCCTGCCTGTCTGCCTACTTGTGCTCTCTCTCTCCCTCTGTCAATAAATAAATAAAATCTTTTTAAAAAAGATCTCTTTCTCTAATATTATAAAATCAGCATCTACAATGGAAGATATGACTTCCATGGTATAATAAATGGGTACAGATTGTGAATTCTGAGGATACCCACAACTCCAAATGCAGTGAACATATGGAGTAAGGAATGAGCCTTACCAAATCCAGTTCTTGGCCTGAGTACGGGGGAGGGTACATCAGAAGTATGAAGGAGAGCAGGACTGCATAAAACTAGTATCTGGTACCCCATGAAGTTTCCCATCCTTTCCCCATTGTCATGTTCAAGTTCTTCATCAGCATGTTAATTTCAAACTAACAGATGATTTTTCCTTAAATGATCAAATTTTCCCTTCAGAAAATAACTAATTCTAATCTGGCCATGAAACAAGGGTGCCATTGAAGGCATAAAAGGGCCAAGCTTTTAAGTGTGAGTTTTTTCCTTTCCTCCACAAAAGAAACATACATTTAGTATTTCTTTATTTAAAGACATGCCCGCCCACAAACATCTGAGAAACATCTGTAGACAAAATGCCAAAATGCATAGTCGAATTTTGACTCACACCTCACCACCCACCAAGACCCCTGTCAACTCACAATAAACACCTTTCTAGCATCTGCCCCAGAGAAAGAAACGCCACATTACCCAAAGGTCAGAGCAAACAGATGTCACTTATTGCAGACCCTAATCATATCCATATCCAACTTTAGGAGGTCTGTAGCTAAAGCCGACTTCTGGAGTAGAGGTTCCTTCAGCTCGAGACACTCATCCCTCTGTCCTCCCTCCCTCTCACTGGAGCAAGGAGGCCTCAGAAGCGGTTGTCTCTAGGGGCTGTCCCCTGCTGACACATCCCATGATTGAGCACAGAGGTAAGAGAAGCAGCAGGGAATTCTTCATGGTTGGCCAGCACCTTAGCAGTCTTCCTGCTTCTCAGTTTGACATGTCTGGAATACTCTTTCAAGGGAAGGTCCTGCATCAACCTCTCTGATTCCCTGTGGCAGACTTAGGACTGCCCTTCACTGTTCTCATAGCCTTTTGTACACATCTCTGTACAAGCCTTCATTCTATTGAATAGCATCAGTTTACATCTCTGACCCCCATGAGACTGAGTTTCACTTGGAGGAAGGAAGAAGGAAAGGAAGGAAGGAAGGAAGGAAGGAAGCAAAGGGAGTATAAGGAACTTATATGAAGAGGCTTAATGAAGAGACAATGTTGGCAGTACAATTTAGCGGGGATTTTTGTTTTGTCTTTATAAACCAATAAAGCTTAAAGCTTAATTCAATAATGATATGTTCAGTATCTGTAAGAGGTTATTTATTTATTTATTTATTTATTTATTTATTTATTTATTTATTTTAAGATTTTATTTTTAAGTAGGCTTCACACCCATGGTGGGACTTCAACTCACAACCTCAGGTTCCAGAGTCACATACTGTACCCACTGAGCCAGCTGGGCATCCTCTGTAAGAGATTTTTAAAAGAATAAAGTGTGGATAATTTTTTTTTTGCTCCCTTTGTCTTCTGGTTTCTGGCTGGATTTGGCCAATGAGAGACAATGGGAGGAAGTTAAAGGGTAGAAGTGCTGGCGGAAATGAGATCAGGATATGTGTTTCTCTTTAGTTTCCTGCAAACCTCTACTTAAGGCCACAATCTCTATCAGATGACCCCTACTCTCTCCTTAACTTGTCTCTTTAGCCCTATGGGTGGTACCAGCTTTCCAACATTGCTAGTCCCAGAGTACTGACACTGTCCCTTATTGATTTTCCTGAACCTTTCTCATATCTTTGTGAATAACCCTTTATTTCATTTTACTCAATTATCTTGCCGGAGATTACAATTTGTTTTCTTATGGGACCCTGACTGAGATAGTAAGACACATTCTCTACCCTAAAAGTTATTTGAGTAGGCCAATGAAGTTAAATACACAAATAAGGATCATTCAAGGAGAAATACAATGAGGAATCACAAATAATTTAGAAATTAGAAGACACAGAGGCTCAAATCTCATTATATAAGTCTATACTTGAAAGAATTGAAAAATTCTTTCTCATGATTGCAAATAAGAATTTGGAAATGGTTTATCGTTGAATGTGAAATAAAGATAAAGCAAAAAAATTGAGGAACATAGCTCACTTTTCATAACAAATTTCAGTCTCTGCCAACCTCAAACTCATGTAGATGCAGACACTATAGAGCTGTAGGCTGAAGGGCCAGCTTTTACCAGTTTTTGAGACAACCTTGTCCACATCCGTCCATACACAAGGAGCTCCATTCCCAGTGACTAAGATCTGGAGGCAGTTATGTTGTCCTAAACCCAGTACCTGGTGATCCTGGAGTGGCTTCACATGCTCCCGGAAATTTCTCTATCCTTATGACTGAACATCCAAGGTATGTAGCATTGTCCACTTTCACAGATAAACCACAACTCAGAATTAGAGATATCTAATGACTTAACCAAAGCTAAATAGCTAACAAGTAGAAAAGGCAAGTGTCTCTGATTCTAGAATTTATGATCTTCTGACTCTGTTTCACTGCCTCCTCTCTGGAACTTTGACACCATTCACTCACCATCTGAAGGGGCTCCTCTTGCAGAGATGCCAGCACATGGGATCCTCAGAGATCAATGCCAGACCAGACTGGACCTGGATTTGAACAACAGGGGAAGAAGCAGACTTTGCTCCATTGTCCCAATTCCAACTAGAACAGCTTTATTCTCCTTGCAGACATTAAGATTTCATTTTAGATCATATAATATTTTTATGACAATCCTACAAAGCTCCAGCATTATCCCAAGGGCTTCTTTAAATACATTTTAAATAGATGCACAAAAATGTAGGTTTTTAGGGATGTTTTTTCATACAAACATAACTACCCTGAAAACTAATCACATTAATGTTGATTTTTAGAGAAGTCTAATTTCATGCCTGATCACCAGAATTTATAAAAGTTAAGTATAATATCCCTAAGAGTTTGAAATTTTTACTTAATTGTAAGCAACTTTTGTTTGCTCTGAATTAAATGATCCCATTAAGGTATAATGGGGCTTCTTGCTTTCCTTTCCCTTTCCTTCTGAATTTTTCACATAAAATCTATCAAATAAAAATAATTATCCAGGGGCGCCTGGGTGGCTCAGTTGGTTAAGCATCTGCCTTCAGCTCAGGTCATGATTCCAGCACATCGGGTTCCCTGCTCAGCTGGGAGCCTTCTTCTCCCTCTCCCACTCCCCCTGCTTGGGTTCCCTCTCTCACTGTGTCTCTCCCTGTCAAATAAATAAATAAAATATTTAAAAAATAATTATCCAAGAGGGGAGAGTTAAAAAAATCATTATTGAACATCTCTGTGTACATAGTATTGGTCTTCACACAGTATATCCAATTTTCAAATATCCAGTAGTTGTTTTTATGACTATTAAGATGTTTGTTGATTATTTGGAAAAATAAGAGATGTCTTTTCTAAATGAAACTTTCTTGAAAAGAGTTAATGAGGTGTCTCCTTGTTCCTTCACATCTCTTTTCTTCAGGTCCCTATATAAAAGTTATTTCCAGGTTTGCCCTTTTGTATGGACTTCTCTGGGTCCTTTCAGTAGGAAGAAAGACCTATTGTTATAATATACAGGCAATACTGTATACAGGCAAAGCTATGTTAGCTGTTGTAACAAACAAAGTGCCAAATGTATGACATTTAAATACAATAGAATTTATTTCTCATTGACGTAAATTCCAAAATAGATGTGTCTGATTGACAGATAACACTTTTTTCAAGGGCCAGTGTAAGGGCCCAGGACCATTTTTCCTGTGCCTCTGTCATATTCAACATATCCAAGGTGTCCATGTACATTTGCCTTAAAGCAGTGTAAGGGGCATAACGTAAAGAGGGTACTGCATGGAGGATTTTATAGGCCAGTCCTGAAATGGTAAAATCACCTCTGTTTACATCCCAGTGCCTAGAACTTGGTCATGTGGCCATATCTAAATATCAGGCAGGCTGGGAAATGTAGTCTAGCTGTGGGTCAGAAAGAAGAGGAAATGGGTTTATTGAGTTTACAATGTGGGTTCAGAGTCAGACAGACTTGGGTTCAAATTCTAGCTCTGCAAATACTTCTCATGTGAGTCTTCAGTGCCTCAATTTCCTTATCTTTTTTTTTTAAGATTTTATTTATTTATTTGAGAGAGAGAATGAGATAGAGAGAGCATGAGAGGGGGGAGGGTCAGAGGGAGAAGCAGACTCCCTGCTGAGCAGGGAGCCCGATGCGGGACTCGATCCAAGGACTCCAGGATCATGACCTGAGCCGAAGGCAGTCGCTTAACCAACTGAGCCACCCAGGCGCCCCATCAATTTCCTTATCTTTTAAGGGATAATAAAACCTATTTCAGCAATTGTTGCTAAGCTTAAATAAAATAATAAATATACAATGATTAGCACATAGCACTTTTAGTTGAATCTGAAAGGCCAAAATACATTTTGTTTTATGGTCATACAGATTTGTGTATTTATGGATTTTACCTGGTCCCCAACAAGCTTTGTGATATCAAAAGGCCCTCCTTAATATTTTGAATATTCAGCAACATTTTACAAATGTATCCATGTTACCTAGCAACCTAATTAAACACTAAAGAAATACCATAAATTATTGGTAATGTATCTTGTACTGATTATCCATGTTTTAAGTTACCCCTACCAACATTGTACAAATTATACTGAGAAATTGACTTTTTTTCTATTTCATCATAGTTGTTTTGGTTGACTGGATACAGTTTGGGAGAAATACAAATAATGGCCACAATTTAATTCAATCATGATGATGGCTTTTAAATCCTGTGACCACAGTAAGGGGATAAACTTTAGAATTCTCTTCAAAGGTGAAAAGGTTGCCAGTCTTAAGTGTTAAACCATCACACATAATCCAGGTTCAGAAAAGCATTTTGCCATTTCAAAATCAGAAGTCACCCAATAACCAAAAGTTTAGCATAAATGGAAAGAATTATCAGGATTATTTTTTGATCGGCTGTGCAAATCATATATATTCACCTCCCTTTATCCCCTAGACAAATTTTATCCTTTGTGTTTCTTTTTCTTTTCTTTTCTTCCTCTTCTTTTTTTTGTACCAGCAGCAATGGGATTTTTGCCAGAACTGAACTCAGCCACTTCCCTGGGAATGTTGTCCAGTTGCTAATTTCACTACTGGAACTGTGTTCCTTCGGGTCCTGGCCTATTTCCATGCATGCCTCCACTGGAATAAAGGGTCTGACAGTTCTGTGGGTAATGGTAAACATATGTAGCCAATGCTGTGCAGTTCTTTTAGAGCCAGAAGGCATTAGTAGGTATTTTAGTTGCTGGCAACAAAAAAACCAGTGTAAGGCACTTCATCAAACACCAGAACCCAAAGAATACTACACATCAATGATTTTAATACACAGCAAGTTTCTTCTTTCATTCTTTCTTTTCTAAATCATTGGTTAATTAAAAATGAAAGTCAGACTATTATGACAACCTAATTCCAAACTTTGAAACTACAGGGGAAAAGGCTGGGTTGAGGGGGAAAGAGAATATTACAACTTGTTTATTTTGGATACTACTCCCATTTCAAGTTAGGCTTTTTGATTCTTTAAGTGTACAAGAGAACTTTGACTTTCCTGAGTACACAAGGGAAAAATTACATATTGTGATGTCATTGCCTTGAGGATTTCCCATAACACTGAGTACATTAGTCACACTGTCAATGTCAAGGAGATATAAAAGAAAAAGGGGGGAAAAAACGTATCTTCCTATGAGAATCAGTAATGATATTTCTTTGGATGCATTTATTCAAAATCATTTCCTAAATTCCAGTGGAATTTAAGAGAGCTGTTTTAAAATACATCATGACATCTGTAGTAAGTCATCTTGTGGTGCTATTTTACCAGCCTAATAAAAACATTACTATGTAATCATAAATAAGAATAAAAGGAAGACTGCTTTGGGTGGTGTCCTATTTGCTATATAATCTGACTCAGTTGTTCTTTTATTCTATATTGTGTATTGGTGATTGCAGGGAGATACTTTCTTCTGATTATACTAAAAAGCGATAATCCTCCAAGGTTCTTATCTATGTATTAAATGGATATGGGTGTCCCTAGCCTCTTAATTGTTTGCTCTTGTCAATCCAGCTTAGCAGCTGCCTCCTCATTTGCCTAGAAAACCATCTGACATCCTTCACTGTCTGCTTTGTTTCCTGACTTCTGGCTGATTAGAGTCCCTTCCACTATAATGGAGGACCTGTCTGACTGAATGGCTTTAAGACAGAGTATGGTGATTCAACCCGAAGCACGAGCTTTTCTACCTAAACTCAGAACCCAGAATCAGACCAAAAGGTGAGGAACCAATTGCAGAGACCCCATGAAAAGAAAATCAGAGATATTTATTAGACCACGAAGAATTCTACTTGACTGCAGTTGAATCCAATATTAAAATGTTCAGTTAGCTCAATTCCCTGGAGACTGTTTGATAGACTATAAATAGAGAGACTGACATACACCTACTCGAACCTCCTGATAACGATGGTGTAAATGAGCCAAAGCAAGTGGAACCACTTGAATTTCATTCTCATCACCAGTTAAGGCCCTGGATACATGAGTGGGATGGAGAATACGCTTCAAAAAAGTTGAACCATTTCACATTTGCCCAATATTGACTTAGATGGGGATTTCTCAATCTTGGCACTGTTGATATGGAGGCCAGATAGCAGCATCCCTGGCCACTGCCCACAAGCTGACAGTAGTACCTCCATCCTCGTTGTGATAATCAAAAATATCTCCAGATATTGTCACATGTCGCCGGGAGAAGGAGAACAAAATTGGCTGTGGTTGAGAAACACTGCATTAGACATGTCTATGTCCGGAGTTTTTGAAATGAGTGGCCAGGGACTGGCCTTTCACTGAAGCAACAGTTTCAAACCATAGGAGTAGTGACCAGAATGCTTGAGGTTGGGAAAAGAGAGACAGGCTGTGAACCCCTTAGAATGGGGCCACTCACAAAATAAACAAGCAAACGAACTGTTTCACTTACTCCTTGTGACCCCCCAGCTTCCCCAAAATAAAATGAATAGGAATAGGAATATTCTGGAATATTCTGGAATAGGAATATTCTGATGATAATAAGCCTATCTATTTAGTTCTTGGAATAGGAATATTCTGATGATAATAAGCCTATCTATTTAGTTCTTACACATTACATCTCTCCAGAGCTGTAGGTATATAGATTCAGGTCTAGGTAAGCAGATATAAATAATTCCCGAAGCACTTTCCTAGACACAACCTTAAGGGAGTCTCCCAACTACCTGTAAGGTAAGATGGGCAGGCGTTCTTGTGACTCTCATTTCTCGGCTAAGGAAACGAAGTCTCAGAGAGTTGAGGTGATTTCTTCTAGATTGTAGAGGAGTCAGTTTCAAATCCCTGGTTTCTATTGTTCTGCCTTCTTTAAAAATGAAGGTTAAATAGAAACAGTTGCTATGTGCTTGTGCCATAAATATATCTACTTGTGTATCCCATGACCAGAGGAAGAGAAGCATCTCTTTCCCTGCGAGGAGGAAGAAGTTTCAGTACGTGTTGGCTAAGATGACCCTTGGATCGTGTGCTCTGTGGAGTTCACATCAAGTATTTATCAGGTGGGCTCTGGCAGCATGTTCGCACCAGGAATAAATAAAATAATACTTAATTCTCTCTCTGTTAGCATCCAGAATTTGGATCTAATTTGAAGAAAAGGAATGATTTTCTCAACTGTGACAATGCTTTAAACAACTTCTTGAACTCATTTAGCTGCCACTGCCACTGATCTTATTGTTTTGTTTTTTACATCATCAGATTTTGATCAAAGGGTTCACAAAAATTAGAAATACAGAGAGCAGAGCATGCTGTGCGTCAGCTGCTGCAGAGAACAGATGAAACAAACCCAGGGTTTATCGCAGGCCTGGGACTAACCGAGCCAGCAGCTTCAAATAGAGCACACTCGCAAATAATTTCAAATCGTTTTTTATGAGGTTTTACAAAAATAAAGCTGGGTACACACTAGATTAACAAGCACTCTCTGAGATCCAGCAACCAAAAGAAGACCCTGTTATCTTTGCCAGATCAAATGCTGTTTCTTCACATTAGATGTAGAATAAATATAAGCGACAAAATAAGGAATGAACTTTTTCATGAGTTCTGAAATGATTCTGTGTCATTTTCTACTATGATAATCAAGGAGTGTTGTCCTCTCATTTGTAGAGGTTTTACAAACATCTTTTGTACAACTAATGCCTGTTCTTTTTTTCTTTTGAAAACAGACAATACAGAGAAGAAACTAGAAACCATCAATAACCTTTGTCTCTAAGAATGTACTGCTAATTTTGAGATATTTTATTCTGGTATTTTTGCTGTGCGTTACCATATATAGTTAATGATAAACTCATGTATGTACTATCTGATATATAAAAAGCATGTAAGCCATGAGGTGTAATAATAAAATGGCACCCCTGAACCTAAACTCAAACCAGGGACCAGAGAGTCATCGCTAACTTGGCACTTTCCCCTGCGTTCCTCCCCTACTATCTGCCTGCTTTGCTCCCTGATCCCAAACCTGAGGGTAACCTCGAGCCAGGGGTTCTCATTTAGGATTTTATCTCTCAAGACATTCCACAATATTTGAACACATTTTCGGTGGTCACAAGTGGGGTGGGGTTTACAACCAGGGTCTGGTGAGTAGAGATCAGGGATGCTGCTAAACATCCACTAATGCATAGGACAGTCACTGACAACCAAGAATTATCTGCTTTAAATGTCCATAGGGTTAACATTGAAAAACCCTGTTCTCTCCTGTGTGTTGGATTTATCATGACCGTGCTCAAGACAATAGTTTTGTCACACAAATGATCTAAGTAATTTGTCATTTAATTTTGCTGGTTTGGGGGGCGCCTGGGTGGCTCAGTAGTTAAGTGTCTACCTTCGGCTCAGGTCATGATCCCAGGGTCCTGAGATCCGGCCCCACATCAGGCTCCCTGCTCAGCAGGGAGTCTGCTTCTCCCTCTCCCACTCCCCCTGCTTGTGTTCCCTCTCTCACTGTGTCTCTCTCTGTCAAATAAATAAATAAAATCTTTTTAAAAACTTTTTGCTGGTTTAGGGGTTTTATAAAATAGTATTGTGCTGCATGTAGTATTCTGTGACTTGCTTTTTTTCTCCTTCAACTGTTTACTTTTAGTTTTCATTGATAATTTTGCCCATTTATTTTCATGGGTATATATTACTTCATTGTGTGAAGATGCCACAATGTATTTTTTATTCTATTGTCAATGAGTATTTTGTTTGTTTGTTTATTGCTAATATGAACGATGCTTCTGAAACATCTTCACGCAAATCCACGGATGCCCATATGCAACAGTTCGTGTGAAGTGTATATCTAGGATCCAAAACTCTAGGTTGTAGGGGATGTAAGCTTTAAATGTAAAGGGTAATGCAAATTTCAATGTGACTGTGCTGATTTATATTCTCGTCAACAAGATACATGATTCTGCCTTGAGCTACATTTCTCCAATACTCGGTATGTTTTGCTAATTTTTGCCAATCTAGGGAGCATTGAAAGGTAAATCAATGTGGCCTTGTGATTTACATCTCCTGAATTACTGGCAAGATTGAGCATCTTTTTATTTTTTTTTAAGATTTTTATTTATTTATTTGACAGAGAGAGAGACAGCGAGAGAGGGAATACAAGCAGGGGAAGCAGCAGAGAGAGAGGGAGAAGCAGTCTCCCCACTGAGAGGGGAGCCCGATGTGGGGCTCGATCCCAGGACTCTGGGATCATGACCTGAGCCGAAGGCAGAAGCTTAACCGACTAAACCACCCAGGCGCCCCTGAGCATCTTTTTATATGTGTATTCACCATGTCTGTTTCTTCTCTGAGGATCTTGCTTTGCTCTGAAGTTTATTAGTGTTTTCCATCTTATTTGTCAGATGAAAAAGCCTTCCCCATTGGTTTGTGACATTTCCTTTATTGTGGAATATGTCCTTCTATATACTAGAGTCTGTTCTAAAGTTATCCATTTTGTTTCACTTATCTGTTACTTCTTTGCCAATATCATATGGTTTTAATCACCAGAATTCTATATTACATTTTATTATATGGTACTGTGAGTGTGACTTCAATATTTCCTTTTTCAGGATTTTATAACCCATTCTCATATCTCTATTTTTATGACCTAGTTTAATATTAAAATCATATTTGATAAGCTAAAAATATTTATAAATTTTGATTGGTAAATAATTTATCGTGAATATTTAGTCTCATTCAGAAACATGGCATGTCTTCCTCTTCTTTCATATCTTTTGAATTACTTCTGTGGTTTACTTCATAAAAGTCACACTTTTTGCTAGGTTTTTTCCTAGCTATTTCATGTTGTAGGTTACTATTGTGAATGGAATTTTCTAACTGGTTATTACTCACATAAAGAAAATTTATTTTGGATATTTATCTCATACTTCACTACTATGCTGAATTGTCTTCCTTATTTTAAGAAGTTTTAGAGACTCCTGGGTGGCTCAGTTGGTTAAGCGTCCAACTCTTGATTTTGGCTCAGGTCACGATCTCGGGGTCATGAGATCAAGCCCTGAATCTGCTTGGGATTCTCTCTCCCTCTCCCTCTGCCCTCACCCCGCTCATGCATGCTCTGTCTCTCTTTCTCTCTCTCTCTCTCTCAAATAAATAAATAACAACTTTTTTAAAAAAGAATTTTTAGCTGTGTCCCTTTAGTTCTAAGTCTAAAACAATCATCTCTTTAGGCATGCATTCTATTTCTCAGTATTGTCTTACTGTGTTAGCCAGAAACTTAAATCCAAGTTTACCAATAGTAATAGGGAGCAGGGTCTTATTTTTTTTATATTTATTTTTTTTATTCTTATGTTAATTACATCATTAGTTTTAGATGAAGTGTTCCATGATTCATTGTTTGTGCATAACACCCAGTGCTCCATGCAGAATGTGCCCTCCTCAATACCCACCACCAGGCTAACCCATCCTCCCACCTCCCTCCCCTCTAGAACCCTGTTTGTTTTTCAGAGTCCATCGTCTCTCATGGTTCGTCTACCCCTCCGATTTCCCCCGCTTCATTCTTCCCCTCCCGCTACCTTCTTCTTCTTTTTTTTTTCTTAACATATATTGCATTATTTGTTTCAGAGGTACAGATCTGAGATTCAACAGTCTTGCACAATTCACAGCGCTTACCAGAGCACATACCCTCCCCAGTGTCTATCACCCAGTCACCCCATCCCTCCCACCCCACCCCCACTCCAACAACACTCAGTTTGTTTCCTGCGATTAAGAATTCCTCATATCAGTGAGATCATATGATACATGTCTTTCTCTGTTTGACTTATTTCACTCAACATAATACCCTCCAGTTCCATCCACGTCATTGCAAATGGCAAGATCTCATTCCTTTTGATGGGGGAGCAGGGTCTTATTTGTTCTGGAGATTCTTGGGCCCTCTGCCATTGCTTCACCATTAAGTATGGTATTAGCTGTAGGATTAATGTAGATACTTATTACCGTGTTGGTATTTCTAGCCCATTCCTAGTTTTCTAATTAGGAACGAGTGCAGAACATGATTGGTTACTTTTTCTACATAAATGATACTGTTATATTTCACAGAAATGTCTCAACAACTCTACAGTGGGTCAAGTAAGAGAATATTTAAGATACCATATGGCAAAAGCAGATATGTGTATTTCCAATCTGCTAAAAGACATTTGGATTGCTCTGGAAACTACTTGCAATGCTTACATGCTCCACTTTTCTAGCTTAGCATTTAAGATGTCCTCATGACTTTCCAATATTGACCTTGGCTAGCCAACAGCCATTCCCTCTTCTTCCAATCCTACCTCTTGGTTACTTGACTATACTTGGTGTTGTCCAGGACTAATCCTACATATTCATAGTTTCAAAAAACCTCAGCCAGGAATAACATGATGCAATAGTCCAAAACAATTCAAAGAGAGATCAAAAGCGAGATCTAAAAATTATTTCTGTAACATCCTTTCAGTTTGAAGTGCTGAATCTATCTGGTTCAGTTAATTCACCATTTATTTCCATTAAAAAAAATAAAATATAAAGGCAGGTTTTTCCATTATGCCCTATAACACAGGCTTTTATATTATTATTTAATAAAAGAATTAAAGAATAATGCTTGTTATATATAATAGTCTGCTTCCACTTCTTAGTTAAGTCTCATTCCATGCAACAATCTTCTTAAATCTATCATAAATTGAATTACAGGAAAAAAAATGCTCATATTATGTTAGATACATTAGTAGGATGCTAATATCTATCTCATGATAATTCCTTTTCATTTAAAGATTCATTATTTTTGGGGTGCCTCGGTGGCTCAGTTGGTTAAGTGTCTGCCTTCAGTTCAAGTCATGATCCCAGGATCCTGGGATTGAGCCCCACATTGGGCTCCCTGCTCAGCAGGGAATCTGCTTCTCGCTCTCCCTTTGCTGCTCCCCCCTTGCTTGTTCTCTCTCTCCCTCCCTCTCTCTCTCTGTCAAATAAATAAAATCTTAAAAACAAACAAAAAATTCATTATTTTTATACAAGAACTACATTTTTTGCACCATTCTTTCTGCATAAAGTCTCATTTTCTGTGTCTTGTGGGTATCTAATTTTCTCCCTTAAATGAGGGAAGAGATTTCCAGCCTAAGAATTTACTATATCGAATGATAACTTTATTCAACTTTCTTTTCAGTTTTGAAAACTCAGCTTGTATTTGGCCATCAATTTTAAATTTCTAACATCCTGAGACCATGCATAAGAGCTTCAAAAATGATGTTTTCATTTTGCATTTAATAAGTGACATTTAACGAATGGATAAAGAAGATGTGGTTCATATATACAATGGAATATTATTCAGCCATCGGAAAAGATGAATACCTACAATATACATCGACATGGATGGAACTGGAGGGTATTATGCTCAGTGAAATAAGTCAATCAGAGAAAGATAATCATATGGTTTCACTCATATGTGGAACATAAGGAATAGCGTGGAGGACCACAGGGGAAGGGAGGGAAAGCTGAATGGGAAGAAATCAGAGAGGGAGACAAACCATGAGAGACTCTGGACTCCGGGAACCAAACTGAGGGTTACAGAAGGGAGAGGCGTGGGGGTATAGGGTAACCGGGTGATGGGTACTAAGGAGGGCACGTGTGGTGATGAGCACTGGGTGTTATACACAACTAATGAATTGTTGAACACTACATCAAAAACTAATGATGTACTATATGTTGGCTAACTGAACATAATAAAAAAATAAGTGACATTTAAAAGAAAATTTCCCCTCACTTAAGATTTTCTCCCTTCCCCCAAACAGAATTTCTTACCATCCATTCCCATTTCTTATTCTCTCTCCCTCCTTCTCTCTCTTTTCTCTCTCTGGCTCATGCATGCACCCCACCCCCATACACACATTTGCATGCATACCTACTGAGTAGTTCTAAGTCTTGTTGACCAGTTTGACTCCAAGTCACTTTAGACAGCAGTTAAAAATACAGCACATGAGTCATGTTAGGAAGGCTTTAGGTCAGAGCGCCTGATTGCAAATCCTAGCTCATCCACCTACAATGCTTCTTAATCACTCTGTACTTCATTTCTGTAAAATACTTATAATGGAGCCTTGATTTTGTTAAATATTTATATGAATAATCACTTCGAATAATTTTTATGATAATCAAGTAAATTGAATTATTAAATATCCAAAACATTGATCAGTATGGCAAATGCCTAATAAGTGTGGTTTATTTGTATTATAACTTTCATACTAAAGAACTTGGCTTTGAAGGAAAGGAGGACAAGGATAATTTCATCCTTGGAATGTCTGTAAGACAAGGGCATGGGACTGAAAACTTATCAAGCATATACCCTAACTGTGCCAGAAATAAAGTGCTGACAGACAAAATCTTTTGAAACTCTGATTGAGAATGGTTACATTAATGCCTGTGCCTATGCCTAGGAAAACCTGCAACATGTATGGATAGAGATATAATGTACAGTCATACCTCTGATATATTTTGTTGTTGGAAACTCCATACCAAAGGTAGAAATAACATTGGCATATTCTTAGCTTAGTTGGGGGGAAATTATCTGCTACCCATTAATGGTTCTTACCAGCCATCTGGATGTAAGGTAAGTTAAGGATGATATTCAGCTGTATGTGACATAAACCCCAAATATAGTAGCTTGGCCACTGGGGGATTTTTCTTTTCCTCCCATGACAAACAGTGTGGCGATAGACCATCCTGGGCTGGGTGGGGGCTCCAATGGTCAGCGCAACCTTAGCTTCATGTTTTTGCTCTCCCATCCTTAGCATACAGCTTTCATCCTCATGGTTGCAATATGGTGGCTTCCCCTCCAGTCTCACGCTGAAGTTCCAGGCAGGAGGAACAAGAACAGATGGGTACACGTAGAAGGAGGGCCAAAACTTGCTCAAACATCCTGGCAGATTCTGCCCACACTTTTTGCTTTTAAATCAGAACTACACTATGCCCATGACACCCTTCATTGTGAGGGCATCTGAAAAGGGATTTGGCCAGGCATATTGCTGCTCTTAACACAATGGGGTGTCTGTTAATGAGGGGGAAGGAGAGAGTGAACACTGGGTAGACACCTGGATGTAGCAGCTGCCCATGTCTTAACCTCTGGCACAGATGTCAGCATCCTGAGCTTACA